CTCTGGTTTCAATGTTCTAAACTGACCTTTTTAGCCAGGAGATCTTTCCGCTTCCTTTACTTTTCTGATTCAAGATTTCACCTTTATCATTTCCTCTTGGCTTGGGTTCAAGCTTACCTACAAATCTTAAAGGCACACAAAGAGCTCTGTCTTTCCATTGGGAAAAGTCCTTCCTCATTGAGAGAAATGACAATGATATTTGTAACTGCTGTGTCTGCTTTGGAACATTTGTAGATGACATTTTGTATTGCAATAGGGGACAAAGAGGCAGGATAAGAATTTCTGAACTTAAAGGAAAGAAGAAAGAAGTATCTACCTCTGCAGTGGATAGGATGATCTGGGGACACCCACAGCAAGAATGGGAAAATGCTTTCTGCCTCTGTTCAAGCTTAATGCTGTCTATAAAGGAATTGTTTAGATTGTGAAGTTGTGAAGAGGATTAACAGCATTTATACTTATGCTGTTATCATTTTAGTGAAGATATGTTATAAATAGAATATTATTGGAGGAAAATTACCTCTCTTGCATATTCTTCAGTACTTTTTTTTTTTATTTGACAGGCAGAGTTAGACAGTGAGAGAGAGAGAGAGAGACAGAGAGAAAGGTCTTCCTTCCGTTGGTTCATTCCCCAGAATGGCCGCTATGGCCGGTGCGCTGCGCTGATCCGAAGCCAGGAGCCAGGTGCTTCCTCCTGGTCTCCCATGCAGGTGCAGGGATACTGGTGTTGCAGGTGGCAGCTTAAACCCATTATGCCACATTGCTGGCTCCAACAAAGAAGTTTTTTTAAAGTATGGCAGAATTGTATAAGAAATTTGCCTGGAACTTATTTCCTCTTTAAACATCATTATTTTAAAGGAATAATGGCCTGGAAAGAAATGCCATTCTCCACTGCTTTCCCGGGCCACAGCAGAGAGCTGGACTGGAAGAGGAGCAACCGGGACTAGAACCTGGCACCCATATGGGATGCTGGTGCCACAGGTGGAGGATTAACCAAGTGACCCATGGCGTCGGCCCCAGCACTGTTATTTTTTTTTATAAAGGGTAGAGTCTCACTTTCTTGAACACAAATGAAGTTCAACTGATGCCTTCAACAAAGTATTTTTTGAAGATTTGTTTTATTTATATGAAAGGTAAAGTTATGGGGGGGTGGAGATAGAGAGGGAGAGGGAGAGGGAGAGGGAGAGAGAGAGAGGAAGAGGAAGAGAGGAAGAGAGGAAGAAAAAGAGAAAGATGTATCTTCCACCCACTGGTTCAATCTCCAAATGCCCAGAGACTGGGCCAGGTCAAAGCCAGAAGTCAGGAGCCTGTAACAGGTGCAGCAGGGCTAATCCAAACTTAGGAACCAGAAGCTTTTGGGTCTTCCACATGCGTGCATGGGCCCAAAGACTTGGGCTATCTTCTGCCCCCTTCCCAGGTGCATTATCAGGGAGCTGACTTGGAAGTGGAGCAGCTAGAGCTTGAACCAGTGCCTATATGGGATTCTGGTGTTGCAGGTGGCAGCTTAAACCCATTATGCCACATTGCTGGCTCCAACAAAGAAGTTTTTTTAAAGTATGGCAGAATTATATAAAAAATTTGCCTGGAACTTATTTCTTTTTTAAACATCATTATTTCTGAGGAATAATGACCTGGAAAGAAATGTTGTATAATATATTAGGGTACTTCAAAAATTTGTGAGAAATGAAATTAAAAGATAACTTCATTTTTGTGTAAAAGAGTTTGAAGTTCATGGCTACCTTCTTTATGGACTTTCTGATGACCCCTCACATGCATGGAACACATTTAAGAATTAGTTTTCTGGTTCAGGATTGTAGAAATTGACTCACAACATTGTTATAGGTGTGCTGAAAACACTTGCTGCTGACTGGAGACCTTCGCTCAGAGCAGAGAAATATGCAAAACCACAGCACCATAAAAAGCCATTTTCAGGTTGAAAAAAAGCAAACTGCTAATAGAAAAGAGAGAAACCAGCCCTTTCTATTTATGCTGGAAACAGTAAACTTTGAATCACTGCTAAAGCAGACACTGAAGAAAGTTGCCTCTCACCTCAGATTGACTTGGGACAAGAACAGTGAGGTTGCAGAAGGATTTCAGAGAAACCCCACTTTGAGGTCATTAGATGTAAAATTTGACTGGTAAACTGAGGTAAGTGGAGTTTGGATGAAAGAATTTTATAAGGTTTGTGTCACTGGAGGAGAATATAAATAGATAAAATGTTGTAAAGACAGAATTTGTCAAGTGCTGACAACTTAAATGAAGTTTGTGGATTCGCCTGTGCAGTGAACTCTCAGTTTCGGAAAGCATGATTTGGTTAGTGGATTAGCAGTTTCTCAACATATCTGGCACATGTCTGGCCATAGTTCACTGGAAATTTGGATCGAATATACTTGCTATGATTGGGCTTCTTTGAGTGGGAGCCAACAGCAGTTTCCTGCTGGTAGGTAATTCAGTAGGTAGAACATGGCATTTCAAGGGTACAGGTGGCAGAGACAAATACAATACAGGTAAACAACTGCTATCAAGGGCTCCAGTTAAGTGAGTGGTCTCCTGACAATTGAGAGACAGGAATGCAATCTGGATGGGAACAGGTAACTTTTGGAAATGGAGAAAGACAAGAAGGCAGCAGCGGGAGGCTAGAGCTTAACAAGTATCCAGGATAATCGGTTTGGTTTAGTAGCAAGGAATATCAAATAAGTCACAGATCTGGTTCCAAGAAGACCTAGAAAACCAAGAGGTTATTTCAGTTTTCTTTGTTCTATTCTAGGCACTAGGGATACAAGAGTAAATAAAACATTGTCCTACTTATATTTTATAATATCAGTTAAAGAGGCATAAAATGAACAAGATAAATGTGTGAAATTTAAGCAAGTATGATAGAAGGTGGTAAGTGCAGAGGAGAGAAGAGATGGAATGCATTAAATCTTAGGTTGCAAAGTTGAATCTTTCAATAGAGTAGCCAGAGAAGGCCTCTCTATGATGTCTATTGAGTCAAAATTTGAAAGAGCTATGGGAGAAAGCCAAATTGTATAAAGATGCTTCATAAAGTTCTTGGAAAATTGAACTAAAAGATAACTTTATTTTTTTAGGTTTATTTATTTATTTGAAAGAGTTACACAGAGAGAAGAGAGGCAGAGAGAGGTCTTCCATCTGGTGGTTCACTCCCCAATTGCCTGCAACGGCTGGAGCTGTGCCAATCTGAAACCAGGAGCCAGGAGCTTCTTCCAGGTCTTTCATCTGGGTGCAGCGGCCCAAGGACTTGGGCCATCTTCTACTGCTTTCCCATGCCATAGCAGAGAGCTGGATTGGAAGTGGAGCAGCTGGGTCTTGAATTGGCGCCCATATGGGATGCTGGCGCTTCAGGTCAGGGCGTTAACCTGCTGTGCCAAAGTGCCGGCCCTGATAAATTTATTTTGATGATAAAATTTGAAATTTGTGCATAGGTCTTTATGATATAAATTTCTATGAACGTGCATAGATTTCAATTTTTTTGCCCTATTTTCCATGTGCTTTCTTAAAAAAAGATTTATTTATTTATTTGAGAGGCAGAATTACAGATAGAGAGGGAAAGACAGACAGAGAGAGAGGCCTTCCAGCACCAGCTGGTTCACTACTCAAATAGCTGCAACAACCGAGCTGGGCTGATCCGAAGCCAGGAGCCAGGAGCTTCTTCTGGATTTCCCACATGGGTGCAGGAGCCCAAACCCTTGGAATGTCTTTTACTGCATTCCCAGGCCACAAGTAAAGAGCTCGATTGGAAGAGGAGCAACCAAGACACAAACTGGTTCCAATGTGGGATACCAGCAATGCAGGTGGAGGCAAAACCTACTGTGCCACAATGTGGTCTCTCCGTGAACTTTTTGAAATCCCTTCATTTATTTGAGGAAAGAGCATTCCAGGCAGAGGAAGCAAGTGCTGGTGTAAAGGCTCCCAGGGGGGAAGAGTGGAGGTGGGGAGGTGTGGAGAACACACACCTGCTATGTCCGGGGCACAGGAAGAAGCGGGGAGGAGCAGGAAAGATCCTGGAGAGATGCAGAAAGACCTGCTTTGCCTTTGCAAAGTGGAAGGTCTGAGGCAGGGCATCCAAGTTGAACCAGGAGCTGAGCTCCTCCTCTCTTCTGATGTCAGCTTGTAGGAGAGCTGGCCGGTGTCAGAGTCCTCTACTACAAAGTGAAAGGGCTGCAAAACTGCTGACCTGGCAGATCCTGGTGGCCCCTTGCTTTAATTTCTGCCTGTGGAAATTTGGTTTGGTCTGTGTCTTTCTAAATGGAAAACTTTATCAATCCAAACTATTTTTTTTTTTACCTCTTTATGCTTTTGACTTAGTCTATTTTTTCTAATTATAACACTGGTTTTCCTTTGGTTTGTGTTTGCTTTCATTTTTTAAAAGTCTTTTTTAAGATTTATTTTATTTATTTGAAAGGAAGGGTTATGGGGGGGAGAGAGATAGATAAAAAAAAAAGTTACGGGGTGGGGGAGAGAGAAAGAGAGAAGGAGAGAAAGAGAGAGAGAGAGAGAGATCTTTTATCCACTGGTTCATTCTCCAATAGCTTGGTCTGGGCCAGACTGAAGACAGGAGCTAGGAGCCTCTCTTCCAGGTCTCCTACATGGGTGCAGGGGCCAAAGCACTTAGATCATCCTCTGCTGCTTCCTCAGGCATATTAGCAGGGAGCTGGTTTGGAAGTGGAGCAGCCAGGACTGGAACTGGCACCCATATAGGATGCTGGCATTGCAGGTGGCGACTTTACCCACTACACCACAATGCCAGGCTCTGCTTTCATATTTTTTTAAAGCCTTCTATAGCAGTAGCTTAAATTTTGCTTAACAAAAGCTTTGTGACTTAGTGACTATTTAGACATATGCTTGGGACTGACCTCAGGAAAGTTGTCTGAAATTGTGGGACCTCAATAAGCAAGGAATTTAGGACTACTGGTTGTAAATAGCCAAGCCTCAGGCCAATCAGACACTAGCTGACCAGTTTCAGCATAGTTATCAGAACTTACATTGGGAGTCTGACCACCTTTTGACTCCCTGTTTTCCTTGAAATCCCCTGCCAACCTTTACAACTTGGCAAATGATCCTTGTGATGAACTCTTCCATCCCGTCTTGAATAAACCTCATTTCCTTGCATTGACTCTTGTCTCTTAGATATTGGCTTTTGAATGGTGAGTAGTGTGACCTTGTTCTTTTTTTTTTTTTTTTTTTTTTTTTTTTTTTGACAGGCAGATTTAGACAGTGAGAGAGAGAGACAGAAAGGTAGGTCTTCCTTTACCATTGGTTCACCCTGCGGCTGGCGCACCGTGCTGGTCTGAAACCAGGAGCCAGGTGCTTCTCCTGGTCTCCCATGTGGGTGCAGGGCCCAAGCACTTGGGCCATCCTCCACTGCTTTCCTGGGACACAACAGAGAGCTGGCCTGGAAGAGGGGCAACCGGGACAGAGTCCGGCGCCCCAACCAGGACTAGAATCTGGGGTGCTGGCACCGCAAGTGGAGGATTAGCCAAGTGAGCCATGGTGCCTACCAACATTATTCTAATTGAGACGTCTTCTTTCAGGATTTCAGTATTGTATTTTAGATATGTCTCTCGTGTAGAGTATATACCTTGTTTAGAATCCAAGTTTAAAGCATTTGCCCTGTGATTGAATTTAGTACCTTTACATTTAATGCAATTAGTGATATATTTGAGTTTTAAATATTATTTTGTTTTATTTTGTGCTTTTTAATGTATTCATTTTTCATATGTACTTCATTGCTTTCTTTTTTTTGTTTTCCTCTTTTTTTTTTGGCATGGGATCAATTTTCTGTTTTATTTCATTATTTATCACAAATTCTTGTCAATTTTTTGAATGACTGTATTCAATTACATTGTACATTCTGACTTTACAAAAATGTAAAGTGAGTCAATTGCTTTATCAACTCCTTGACAGTACTTGTGTAAGGACTCTAGGACACATTAGCTGCCTTTATTCTCTTCTGATCTACACCTTATTACACTTGTATATATTAATTCATTCTTTACTTCTAACTCTACAAGACAGTTAATGTTTATTTATATATACCCACATGTTTACCATGTCCTTTGCTCTTCATTTTTTCTTTACTGAATTCAGTTGCTCTATTTGGGATTATTTTCTTTTGAACTGAAGTACATACTAAGAAATTGAAAGTGTGTTGATACTATTCTGTTTAATTGTCTAGAGTTATTTTTATTTCCTCTTATTCTTGAAAGTAATTGATGGTCTCATTGCATTTTTTTTTGGGCTTTCGATGTTATTAAGAGATCAGCTATTTTTCAGCTCCACTGATGTTCCCTTGAAAATAATTTCCTCTACAGCAACTTTGAAGAACTTCTTTTTTGTCATTGATGTTCTTTTTAATTACTTTGATATGTCTATTGTTGAGCTTCTTTTATATGTTTATAACATATTTCTTTGGTGAAGTGTATCAATTCTTTAATACCATTTTATAGGGTGGTTTTCTTAATTTTGAAATATTTAAGTTCTTTAAATATTATAGATTCAAGACTTTTATTAGATAGACATATGTTTTACATATATTTCCTCCTCTGCTATGACTTCACTTCTCAACACCTCTCTTCCCCAAATCTGGAAGGTTTTGCAAACTGATGTTCAAGTTTTTCAGAATTGCAAAACTCTCTTTGTGTCAAACCACCTTGAGTCTTTTCAGATTTTTTTAAAACAAAGTTTGACAAACAATATTTGCAGCAAACTGATGCACACAGGCATTTCTTCCTTTGTTATTTGTTTTTGTTTTTTTGCTTTTTAAAAAGGTGTTAATTCCGGCCGGCGCCGCGGCTCACTAGGCTAATCCTCTGCCTGTGGTGCTGGCACCTTGGGTTCTAGTCCTGGTCGGGGCGCCGGATTCTGTCCCGGTTACTCCTCTTCCAGTCCAGCTCCCTGCTGTGGGCCAGGAATGCAGTGGAGGCTGGCCCAGGTCCTTGGATCCTGAACCCACATGGGAGACCAGGAGAAGCACCTGGCTCCTGGCTTCGGTTTGGCGCGGTGCGCCGGCCACAGTGCACGGGCTGTAGCAGCCATTGGGGGTTGAACCAGCAGAAGGAAGACCTTTCTCTCTGTCTCTCTCTCTCTCACTGTCCATTCTGCCTGTCCAAAAAAAAAAAAAAAAAAAAAAGATAGATTTTCTCCTTTTTATAGCTGAATAATATTCTATTGTATATATATACACATATATATCACATTTTCTTTATCCATTCATATAATGATGGACACCTTCATTGATTTACAAATTTTCACTATTTTGAACAGTGCTTCTATAAACATGGTGGTACAAGTATTTCTCTGATACAATTGTTCATGTCTTTGGGGTATTTACCTAGTAGTGGGATTGCTGGATCATATGGCAAGTCTATTTCTAGTTTTTAAAGAAATCTCCATGCTGTTTTACACAGTGGCTGCACTCATTTATATTCCCACCAACATTGTATAGGGTTCCCCTTTTTTCCACATCATCATCAGCATTTGCCATTCGGACAGGGATATAGTGATACCTCATTGTGGTTTTGATTTGCATTTCCCTAGTGGCTAATGATGTTGTACATTTTTCATTCATTTCCTGGCCATTTTTATTTCTTTTTTTGAGAACTGTTTATTTAGGTCCTTTGCCCATTTCTTAACTGGATTGGTTGTTTTTGTTGTTGAGTTTTTTGAGTTGCTGATATACTCTAGATATTAAACCTTCATCAGGGGCTGGTGCTGTGGTGCAGTGGGTTAAAACCCTGGCCTGAAGTGCCAGCATCCTATATGGGCGCCAGTTCTAGTCCCGACTGCTCTTCTTCCAGTCCAGCTCTCTGCTGTGGCCTGGGAAAGCAGTAGAAGATGGCCCAAGTGCTGGGGCCCCTGTACCCACGTGGGACTCCTGGAGGAATCTCCTGGCTTCAGATCGGAGCAGCTCTGGCTGTTGCGGCCATCTGGGGAGTGAACCAGCAGATGGAAGACCTCTCTCTGGCTCTATCTCTCTCTGTATCTCTGTCTTTCAAATAAATAAAATAAATCTTAAAAAAAAAACCCTTTGTCAGATAAGCAGCTTGCTAGTTGGATATTTCTTAACTGTTGTTTCCTTTGTTGTGCAGAATCTCCTGAGTTTGATGTAATCCCATTTGTCGACATGGTAATGAGATTTATTTTGTAATCTGTGATAATACTAATATACAAAGTCTGGATGTATTCTATTTATCTTGTTATTATTCATTGATTCCTTATTCCTTTGGTTAATTATTTTTTTGCTATAGTTGTTAGGTTTCCTTTGAAGGTTAATGTTAAAATTTTCTGAGGCCTATGATGAAGCCTGAGAATCTGGGACTCAATCCAGGCACTCTTGTCTGGGATGCAGGTGTCCCAGGTCTTGGTTTAATCCTCTGTTCTACAATGCCTACCCCCTAATGTGTCAATTTCTACAGAAAGCATCCTACTATGACTAAGGTCCAGAGTACATTTAACTTGTAGACCAGTTTAAAGAGACTTGAGTCTTAATTGCTTTGATTCTTCCAATTCTTAAAAAATCAAATCTGTGTCCATTTATTAGGATCTTTAATTATACATAGTGATGTTCTTTTTTTTTAAGATTTATTTATTTATTTGAAAGTCAGAGTTACACACAGAGAGAAGGAGAGGCAGAGAGAGAGAGAGAGAGAGAGAGAGAGAGGTCTTCCATCTGTTGATTCACTCCCAAATTGGCTGCAATGGCTGGAGCTGCACTGATCTGAAACCAGGAGCCAGGAGCTTCCTCTGAGTCTTCTCATGTGGGTGCAGAGGCCCAAGGACTTGGGCCATCTTTTACTACTTCCCAGGCCATAGGAGAGAGCTGGATCGGAAGTGGAGCAGCTGGGTACAGGTCTCGAACTGGTGCCCATATGGGATGCTAATACTGCAGGTAGTGGCTTTACCCACTACGCCACAGTGCCATCCCCATGATGTTCTATCATTTTGACTATGGGGCTTTTGACATTTCATCTATTTTATTTATTACTAATATTTCACTAAACAGTAGATTTAACAAGTAAAAAGCAAGAAGACCCTAATTTAGTGGGAATATATACAGCAGCTATAAAGAATAATTAAATGGAAAAAATGACCATTTCTCCTATATACAGTAAAATTAAAGTAATCACAGATCATTAAAACTACAGTAATATAGCATTCTTAACTACTGGCTTGACAAAAGTATAAAGCAAAGTTTTATAAAACTATATTTGCAGCAATAGTGATATACACAGGCATTTCTTTTTTTGTTTTTGTTTTTTGAGTTTTAGCTTCTACATATAAGGGAGAACATGTGGTATTTGTCTTTCTGGATCTGGCTTATTTCACTGAACATGACGTCTTCCAGTTGCATGAATTTCGCTGCAAATGGTAGAATTTATTCTGTTTTCATAACTCAATAATAGTGTGGCTGTGTGGGAGGTTGCAGGAGGTGGCTGAGTCTTTGGGCAGTCACTGTGGGCAACTTCACATGCTTGGGGCTCCCTGATCCCCAGTGAGATCACTGCAGTGGGATCTGTGTTCCCTGAGGATTGCACAAATCCTATGTGTGGTTCTTGTGTTAGAGCAGATGAATATTGTACCCATTGGGTCTAGTGCCCAGGCATTGGTCTCCTTGGAGGAGAGGAGGTGAGCATGAGACTATGTTAACAAAGCTGATTACATCTTCCCTTTGCTAAAAAAAGGAAAAAGAAAAATAAGAGATTTACCACAGCCCACTTTGGTGTCATCTTGGACACTCTCCTCACTCTGGAGCACTGAATAGCACTTCCTGGACACATCCAACACATGCCTCTGGGTATTCACTGAAAGTGCAGGCATTCCACTAATCCACAGATGCATAGCCCAAATATAAAAGCCATCATAGGGGAAAAATCAAACCAACAATTACCTCCACAAATACCTAAAAATAAATGAAACACTTCAAGAAACAAGAATAAGGAAGACAACATGATGCCCCAAAGGCACACAACTATACTTTAGTATTAGAATGTGAAGTTGAAGAGATTGAAGAAATGCTGGAAATGTAATTCAAAAAATTGATTGTAGGATTATTTAGAAGTAATCAATAGCAAATTCACAAA